GTTGGTCAACTGAACAAACACGATTCATGTTTTTAACATTTATATTCTTTAAATGTACAAATAAATTCACTAGACAATATTTTTTAAAGAGTTTCAAAGTTCAAATTTGGGACACTAACATTTAAGATGGAGCTATCTAAAAATGCGAGATAATGGCATAACTACAGTCAAATAAAGTACACATTAACATTTTGAGGCAATGGATGTTTTAAAGGCCACTGGCGACTAGCAGCGACCCCTAAAATATATTTTGGAGTCAAACATTCCAGGAAGAGCTCGCTCAGACACGAGAGTTTCTCATTCCCCAAGGTCACTATTAAACTAATCTATGAAAACAAAAGAAAAACTCATTTCCTATCATAAATAGTTCAGTGATAGACAATTAGCAGAATGAGAGTTTTCCTTTAAGGTGAATTTGGAAAATAGTAAAGATATTGTATTATTATTTTTCTTATGCTGAGTTCTTGAACATAGCTAACTTTTAGCCTAAGCAATGAAAAGCACAGGCCAATGTGTGTGTTTCTTCAGAAATATAAAAATACTATGATTATAGATTATGATGATTGATCACGGCCTATAATCATGTTCGAAAAATTCATCTTCATCAAAGCTATTCTGAACTGACATAAGTGATGGAGTTTTGCAGACCGTAATAAAATCCATCTATCAGATGGGGAAATATGGTTGGAATATGTGTCATTCATTCTGAAATGAGCATTAAGAATTATCTGGCTCTTACTGAGATGGGTTTAAAAATAATCCCGTAGGGGGTGCAAGTGACATACTTTCACGACTGAGAGTATTTTGAGAATTTTGTGATGAGTATATCTGCTTTATTATATTTTCTGTCTACTTTCATGTATGTTTGACTATTTCAAATATTAAATAGAATAATAATGCAGCTTTTAAAACATTTAAAATAATGGGAGGGGGTGGAGAAAATCATATAAGCCTAACTATTTATGGAACTATTTCTCCATGAAGGCTTAGGTGATCTATAATTCTGAAATTAAAGCCTTGAAAGTTGAAAAAGATGTTCAAGTAGCGATTATTCTCTTGTTGGGATCTGAAAACTAAATAGCTTTGATGATACCTAGAAGGGCATTTGCTGTTTTTCTGAAGTCTACGAAATCACTTTACATATTAAATAGAATAATTTCATCTTTCATCATTTATTTTTTAATCAAGAAAACCCATTCAGAATTTGCCCCTCAAACTGCATGTGATTGAAGCTTCACTAATTTATCAATATCGGAGGAGGAAAAGCTTTCATCAAATGTTTTTTTCTTCCTTAAAAAATAAATAAATAAACTTCATTTTACCTTCATTGAATACTTAATGCCAAGGTAAAACTCTTGGTAAATAAGTAATCATTCCCTAAAGCTACACAATTTAAAATGCATTTATGGAAGGTCACGGGTCATCATTTATGGTAATGGAGTATGAGCAAACAAATTAATTCAAAGTACAGAGGAAAAACTGGTTTCAGGCAGCAACCATAAAACTTGTCATCGCTGAAACGTCCGTTTCAAGAAACATGCTTCAGCCGGGAGTCTGCATCCACCGGTTATAGCTTGCAGCCATCGAATCCCTTTCCGAGCACAATCCCAAGCCAGGTGTAGGACCATGAAGATAAAAGTTGAATTTATAATTGCTGCGTGGGTTTACCAGGAGGCTTTTATTAAAGTGGGAAACCAAGTTTCCTTTTGCCAAGTCAGATGAGAAAAGCGGCAAGCCGAAGAATGATTTTCCCCTTGAATGGACGGCTTGAAGATACGATTTTCAGGACACCGTTGGGTTTGTCCTCATTGGTAGTAACCACGAAGGGTTAAACAATGTGCGGGAGGACCTGCTCTGAAGGCATTACAAAGCCCAAATTCCAAGTCACGTACGTGACACCGTGCACCTGGTTTTCCGAGTCTGTACGAAAACGAGCAACTGGAATGGACCTTGTGCCTGTAAATCAGACGCTCATAATCAACCAAAGAAGTATGCACTTGAGGGTCCCCCACCCCAAGGTATAAACATATTTAACACGTTTTCCCCTGGTTGAATGGGAGACTGGAGCATCCTGTGTTGATTCCATTTTTTAACAGAGAAAACTGATCGTACGTATGATTTCCATAGTGGATGCTTTTCTCCGCCATGCCCTTGTAGAACATTCGTTTATCATGATGCTGTGATGTCTTAATGATAGATTGAAGAACTGCTCCCCTGCCACCAAAGAGGGCATTCATCAGGAAAAAATGTTCATTTCCGGGGAAATTTTAAACATCGGATTCATCCTTGAGCCTCCTTTGTAAAATGCTTTTTACAGCCCTTGGTATCCTCATTAATCCAAGTCAGAGGATTACACCGCTGGAGTTCATTGGGAGCAGAACAATTTCCGGACTGCACTCTCCGGCTCAGGTCTCATCAGAAAGCGTGGGTTCTATTCCCTACACTGCTTTTAAAAAGGTAGTGATTAAGGCTGTGTCTCACGGGATCCTCAATTAATCCAGGAAAAGGAAACTCCTTTTCCTTAATGAGCTGCTGCTGATTGTCTGGTCATACGATCGTGATTAACTAGACGACTGGTATTCTTTGAACAAAAGAAAGCTTTTCTCAAATCAAATCAAATAAATGAATCTCTTAACTCAATAACCCTTTTTCACACTTATAACCATGTTAACAAATTTCTCAATTACCTACTCCTGGATTACCAGTTTCAGTTTGGGAAAAGGAAAGGTAGATTTGGTACTTGTTCAGCTGTTGTACTTGTATTGGTAAAGAATCATTTCAGAGAAAATCAGAATTTGTGAGGGAGTGAAAAAGGACCTCACATCTTGTATCCTTCTGGAATTGGGTGCATTGTGGATTACGAAGTGTATCAGCCACTGGCCGTGGGTACCGGTGGAGCACACGAAGCACGCACGGCTAGCCCAAGTTGAGCAGGCTTGTCGATGTAAAGTGCCCTTGTGGCGCAGTGGGTTACAAAATCAGCAGCCCCCACCCGAGGTAGAAAGACGAGGCCCTGTGCTCCCCTCAAGTGTCCCAGTCTCTGAAGCCCCCAGAGGCAGTTCTCCCCTGTCCTAGGGGGTTGCTGTGAGTTGTCATCAACTCGGTGGCAGTGAATTTGGTTTTGGAGTTTAGTCAGGGTAAAGTACACACTGATTTTGAAGGTGTGGTGTGCAAAAAGATTGTAAAATATTTCACTGACCTCCTCAAATGGATCGTATTCGGATATGATAGTTGCTTATCTATAATTTTACCATATTATTTTACCTATTTGCTTGTCTATAATTTTACCATATTACCAAATGGATCACATTCTGATATGCTAGTAGCTTATCCATAATTGATGTATTACCATAAAGATAAATTTAAGCTAAGGTAATTTTATTATTAAAATGAGTTTCACCAATTGATTTTTTTAATGTAAACAAATAATAAACTACAGACATGGCTTATGTTTATGATATGACTATTGGATGGGGTTAGTAGAGATCACCAGGTATGTCCCGGCCAGTACATTATATATATATAATTTTTATTGTGACTTGGGAAAGGTTCACAGACAGATAATCAGATTTACGTTAAAAACATAGATACGTTTCATTCAATCCCTTCCGTGTCCCATGGATTAACCCACTTTCCCTTCAGGCTGCTTTCTGACCCCTCTGTCCTTGGAGGTAGGAGCCGCCTTTCTGATTTCAAATGATTATTTGAACTTGAGGTCTGTGATTTCTATGGACCTCTGCTTCCCCTGATCTCACATTGAGATAAAGATATGAAGTCAGCTTTCATTTATCTATGCGATGTTCATTATCTATGATTAAATTAAGATGCCCTGGTGATGTAGTGGCTATATCATTACGCACTAGCAAGGCTAACCAACAGGTTAGTAGTTTGAGCTCACCAACTGCTCTGCTGAAGAGAGATGAGGCTGTCTCCATCAGTAAAGATTCAGGAGCCCTGGTGGTATAGTGGCTTATGCACTGGGCAGCTAACTGTAGTCGACAGTTTGGAACCACCAGTCACGCTGCAGGAGAAAGATGAAGCTTTCTACTCCCATAAGGAGTTATAGTTTCAGAAGCTCACACGGGGCAGTTCTGCTCTATCCTATGGACTCACTGTGAGTCAGAATCTAATCGATGGCAGTGAATGATTTGAAACTCTGTCCTATAAGGCCACTGTAAGCTGGGTTGCCTCTAGGGCAGTAAATTTGGTTTAGTTTTAAGATTAAAATATCCCCCCCCCACCCCAGGTAATTCAGATGTGAATTTTAAATACGAATGCCAATCTCTCCCATCTAAAAAAGTCCTTATTGTAAATAATAGTTATTTATTATACCTGAGTCCTATTTTAAAGGGGAAAAATGCACTTGTCCAAGACTACTTAGCTAGTAGTATCAAAAGAGGGAAAATGCTCTTGTCCAAGACTACTTAGCTGGTAGTATCATTCTTGGCTTAAACCAAGAATGATAGTAATGCAGGGCTGGATCAAAAAGAGTTCCCCAAAGATTTGTTAAATCTGTACTGGAAAAGATTGCTCTGGGGGAGCTCATGGAGATGCAGCACCCCCCTTAAAGAGCCCAAATTAAAAAACTCAAAGACATCACATTGATTCCAACTCCTACCAGTCCAATAAAGTGTCAGGTAAACACTAAGGGAAACGGAACTGTCATCGAGTCCATTTTGATCCACATCAACTCTATACAGGATTCCTGAGCATGTAAGTCTGTAACAGGGCAAGACAGCTACACCTTGCTCTCACAAAGCACCTGGTTGGTTTGAACCACCAGCCTTGCAGCAGCCCAAAGCCTAAACCATAAGACAGTCTTCAGGGTCCCTAACATCAATCATGAAACTAAGCTCCCCCAACCAGAATCATTCTTTTGCTAAAAGGACGAGAGCATTGTTTTAGTTCTTCCTCCTAAAGTCCTCTGTGCATTGGATTGATGAGCCATTGCAAGTTGCTTCTTAACCAAACGCGTGTTTTCCCTCTCTGTACAAATGCAGAATGTGCCCGTGGCTCCGGGTTCAGCCGACAGGGTGGCTAATGGCGAAGGGATGCCTGGTGATGAGCAAATTGAAAACAAGGAAGAAGAAGACCAAGGGGGTGCTGTGAAGTTTGGATGGGTGAAAGGTGTGCTGGTAAGAAGGTTTCTATGTTTGCAAATAAAGACGATCCAGGAAATGCTCTAGTGGGTTCAGCAAGCCCGAGCAGTGCAGTGACAAAGACCGCTGGGTTTTGCATGATTGTCACTCAGCTTTCAATACCACTCTGATCTACAGGTACGATGCATGCTGAACATCTGGGGAGTCATGCTCTTCATCCGCCTCTCTTGGATTGTGGGGGAAGCTGGCATTGGTAAGCCCTCCTAAATAATCTTCAGTGGGGATTATAAATTCAATGAACAAGATTCATGCTGGATGTGAGATGAGAACCACAGAGAAGTCTGCTGGGGGTCCCTTTACTTTACCTCTTTGACAACATTTATCACAGGAGAAAAGTGAAAAACTAATTCCAGAAAGACTAGCCTTTTCTAGTTTATGAATACCCATCTAACTATTTCAACTTCAGGTAGAATTTAAGTGTACAACTATATGAAGACACAGGAGACCTGTGGGGCTGCAAACCACAAGGTCAGCAGTTCGAAACCACCAGCTGCTCTAAAGAAGAAGGAGGAGGCTTTGGACTCCAGTAAAGAGTTATAGTCTCAGAAAACCCACAGGGGCAGTTCTACCCTGTATGTAGGGTTGCTATGGGTCAAAATCAACTCATTGGCAGTGAGCTTCATTTGGCTTATTACAAAACCAAAAATTAACTGCCACTGAGTCAGCTCTGACTCAGAGTGACCCTGTATGGCAGGGTACAACTGCCCTGGGTGTTTCCAAGACTACCTCTAGCAGAAAGCCTCGTCTTTCTCCTGTGTAGTACCTAGTGGCTTTGAACTGCTGACCTTACAGGTAAGAGCCCAATGTAAAACCACTACCCTACCAGGTTTCCTCTGGTTTATAATAAGGTTGTTACAATGTTATTATTCTTACTTCCCATAATCATTTTGAAAACTTTTATTGGGGATTAGGTGGAGATTTACAGAGCCGATCATCAGAGTTACAGTCAACCATTTGAAACCAACACAGTGTGTTTCAGGTCATCAAACACAATCCCCTAATGTGCCGTCACTTACGAGTCAACTGCTGTAATTCCTACTTTTCCCCACGGTTTTGAGGTTTTTGTTTCTTGGTTTGATATTTGTGTCTCATTTTCCACAAAATGCTTCCCTTATGATTATTGCCAAAACTTACTAGACCAAAATTACTTGTAGGAAAACTGGTGAAAAATGTGATCTGACTAATAAAAATGCTGAATTCCTGAATATTTTCCAAAGAACATAATTGTGCTGCTTTCAGCTATCACAGCAAAAAAATTAAGGTTAAGAAAGTATTGCCAGATATCAGGCTAAAATGATAGATTAAACAGTAATTGTTTATTTCTGTAAGTGAGAAATTAAAGATGCTGAAGTCATTTTGCATGATTACTGACTGTGTTAAAATATTATACTTGATTTCAAATTTCTCCTAGCATATCGTTCTTTTTCATTAGAGCATGTTAGTAAACGTTATATAAAAAATGGCTTGTAACTTTATAAAGTTTCTTATTTAATGTGATCAAGATTAATGACGCTTTACTTTATATATGAACATGTCTTGGAAAATACATTACAGATTCAAATTTGAGGGAAGACATAAATCTTTAGAATCAAGACTATGGAGGTTCAGATGTGCTTTCTGACACTACGCCAGAACATTTCTCAATTCACACTTAAAAGTCATACTTGAAGCGAACTCTGGTGACATAGTTCAGATGCACTGGGCTGCTGACCTCTAGATCAGCAGTGCTGGCCGATCGGTCACTCAGCAGCAGAAAATGAGGTTGTCTGTGGTGATAGACATTTTTGAAAGTCTCAGAAATAGAGGGACAGTTCTACTCTGTCCTATAAGGTCGCTATGAGTGGGAATCAATTCAGGACAGTGCATTTGATTTGATGGGGGGCGGTGGGGGGTGTCATCATAATGCAGTGCCTTCACTCCTCAAAATGCATCCCCAGCCTTTAGAAGCCTTACCTGGAAAAATAAAAGGCTGAGTTGTAAATTGAAAAGCTGGAACCAGTTCCCATAGTTTTTCCCTGTGGTGGCTGCTGAGTTCCTGACAATGGGCTGCTTGCCTGTGTTATGATGCATGTCAAATGAATGCTTACAGCCCCAGGGTCCGAGATAAGTACATGCTGCTCCATGAAAAATCTGCATCTTAATATTGCCACGCTTTTGCTCCAGGGTTTCACGCAAAATTAGGTTTTTAAGGGCAGTTTAGTAACTTATTGAGATCATCAAGAAACACTACTTTGTTTAGAGGTGTGAGTAGCTAAGGGCAAGAGTAATTCTTTTTGATGCAACTTATTTAACATCCATATGTTTGGGCAATCATCTGAACTTTAATCAGATCTTACATTACTCGACCCAATTTCCTGGTTATTATAAAAGTGTAAGCTACGCAGAACCTAATTCTCCAGTGAGTTGTTTTAACAGGACCTTTCACTTATGTAGGGAGTCATGAAAAGAGCCCTGTTCTACCTGGATGGATTTTTCTTTTGAATGGAAGTTTTGCTTTTATTTTTCCAATCTTCATAAGAGTGACAGTGGTGATGAATAGAGTTCCATCAGCCCTTCCTCCATTTCATGGGCCTTGGCTGTGAACCTCAAGTTAATGATTGGCTGGGTCACCGTGGGGGGGCTACTGGTCTCCCTTTATTGTGAAAAGAAAGAAGCAGACAGACACATTTTCATCTTGTTTAGGGGGTGAGTTTGGGGAAGCAACCTGAATACATGTTCAAGTCCAGATCCTAGAAGAAGGCCCGCAGAGGACTGGAGCCAAGAGACGTTAACAGTGATCACAGCCCTCGGATAATCATGCTGCGACAATGACCTTGTTCCCCAAACACGTTATAGAATGAGCTGATGATGCTGTCTGCTTGTCCTCTATCTGGGAGATCTTGGGCTGGGGCAAGATTGCTTCTAATGAGCTGAACCTTCTGGAAGGAAAGAAGGGTATGCAAAGCAGATAACTTAACGCATGTCCCTAGGTTCCAGGAGTTTCTCATTCTTGTATAAGACTTAGGGAGTTGGCTTCTTTTTTTCACAATCAATTCTTCAAAGATAAAGCCCAAAAGACCTTGCTGAGCAGAACAAGCAAGCATGCAGTGAGATATTCTAAGGGTAGGTCAGTAACCTTTAGACTATATGATGTGTAAGAATTACCTGGGTAGTTAGATAGAAAACTGCAGAATCCCGGAATCCATAGTCAAAGTAGGATCAGGCATTTTTAATAAGCAGCCCAGGCATTTCCTGAAGCAGATGGTTTAAGAAACAAACTTTGAGAAAACAAGGAACCGAATGTTCTCTAAGTTGCCTCTTAACGCTCTAATTCTATGTTAGGCTGTGAGAGAGAAGCTAATCCCTCAGTGATTAAAAGTAAAAAACTTCCTTCCAGCACTTTACAGGCACATACTTGATGCAAAGGTGTGAATTAGAAGTTGGAGGCCTGGTGGCATAGTGGGTTACCTGTTTCCCTGAAAATAAGACAGTGTCATATTGATTTTTGCTCCCAAAGATGGGCTAGGTTTTATTTTCAGGGGATGTCTTATTTTTCCATGAAGAAGAATACGGTACACATTTATTATTGAACAACAAAAAAGGAAATGTATTACCTTTATACAGTATGGTAGTAGTTGTCATCCCCAACCAGCATAACCAGACAAACTGTGAATCCTACAGTATCAAGAATTTCTTGTTACTACCATTATTTCCATGTACAACAATCTATGGTGCATTTACTCGCACTTCCTGTCTGCTCTGGCTGCGCTGCAGCCAACAATGAGCTACATGGCATCCCCCACCGCTACAGTCCAGAGTCCAGAGTTATGGTAGCTTCAGGGGGCCTTATTATCGGGGAGGCCTTATGTTCGGGGAGGTCTTATTTGGGGGGGTGCCTTATATTTCAGCGAGAGGCAAAACGTAAGTAGGTCTTATTTTCGGGGGATGTCTTACTTTCAGGGAAACATGGTACATGTTGAGCTGATATCTCTACGGTCAACAATCAGCGGTTTGAAACCACCAGCCATTCCAAAGGGTAAATATGAGACTGTCTACTCCCATAAATATTTGTAGTCTGAAAATCCCACAGAAGCAGTTCTACTCTGTCCTACAGGGTCACGATGAGAGAGAAACAACATGATGGCACTCAACTTTCAGGTCTGAGAGAAAATAAGCAATCAGGAAAACCCCAAGCAAAAATTACTGCCACTGAGTTATGCCAGCCCATAAAAACCCCATATGACAGAATATAACTTCCTCTGGGTTTCCGAGGCTGTGAATCCTTATGGGGGCAGACAACGTCATCCCTTTCGCGTGAGTGGCTGATGGGTTTAGACTATGAACTTTTTGGTTAAAAGCTCAATGCTTAGCCCACAGTGACACCCCAAAAACTCCTAACCAAACCCATTGCTCCTGAACTAATCCTGACTCATAGCGACCCCATAGAACTTCCTCATAGGTTTGCAAGACTGTACCTCTTTACAGGAGTAGAAAGCCTCCTCTTTCTCTTCAGTGCCACCAGGGTGCTTTAAAAAGGAAATCAGGGTGAGGCAATCATAGAATAAATTTAATGCCACGAGAGGCAAACTGCTAGCGGTGAGCTAGCTACTCCATACCAAAGCTCCTTGAAACAAAGCCAAGAGCAAAATAACGTGCAAATAATACAGAGAAATCACCTTCCAGGACACGGAAACTTAAGGTGACAGCCTGATATAAAAGGCAATGCTCACCGCAGGACCCTTCAGAGCTACAAAGACCCTAGTGCATTTGCTTTGTAAAGGGTCTGCAGAGGCTAACGTAATGTGGTCCAAGTGTGCCCTCCTGCTAGAGTTGGGGTATAGCCGGGAACATCAACAGTGTCACACCTCAATCCTTACCCCCCCACCACCCCGACTGCTTCTCTCAGCAGGGGGATGGGAGGGCATGTCTAGAGAGATCCTGGTCTTTCTTGGCAGGCCACTCTTCTAAGAATTCTTGGCCTCAGAGAGCTGCCAAGAGCAATTCGTGAGCATATACTTCATGTCAGGTCCGGTGGTGCAAAGAGTGAAATGCTTAACTATTCGCTGAAAGGTTGGAGGTTTGAATCTACCCCAAGGCACCTCAGGAGCGAGGCCAGGCCATGAGCTTCGGAAAGGCCCCAACCTTGGGAAAAGCCTATGGAGCAGTTTGCACTCAGCACACATCTGGAGTTGTCCCACACTGGGACGGGCTGGGCAGCAGCTTATACCAAGCTCGTGCAGCGGGGCATACCCAACAGGTCCCAGCCAGGGCCTTCTGGACCAGAGCCAGTCCGGTGACCCCTTCATTCTCTTCTTAAGTGCTGGGTCAGGCTCTGTTGAAGAGGGTGTCCTTCTGACTCAGTGGTTCTCAACCTTCCTCATGCCGCCACCTTTACATACAGTTCCTCATGTGGTGGTGAGCCCCCAACCATAACATTATTTTCGTTGCTACTTCATCACTGTAACTTTGCTACTGTTATGACTTGGGCGACCTGTGTGAAAGGGTCGTTCAACCCCCAAAGGGGTCTCGACCCACAGGTTGAGAATGGCTGTATCTGACTGCATATTTCCTGATGCTGAAAGCAGCCTTGCCTTCTGAATTCTAGCTTTCACGCATTTCTTCCTTTTACGAAGGTCCCTTGGTGGTGCAAAAAAAATACAGGACACTGGATAGAGCAGTCGGGGAGCGCTTGGCTTCTATCCAGAAGTTTGATGGTTCAAACCCACCGCTGCTCCCCGGCGAAAGACATGGCCTGCTTCTGTAATGATGGATGGCCTTGGGAACCCCACGGGGCAGTTCTACCCTGTCCTATGGAGTAGCTGAGAGTTGCAAATAGACTTGATGGCAATGGGTTCGGTAGCTGTCACAAATGGTGTTTGCTCAACTGCTAACTTAAAGGTCACTGGTGGGAACCCACCCGGGGAGGCTGCTGACGAGAGACCTGGTGGTCTGTGTCAGTGGAGATGACAGTCAAGGAAGTCCCGCGGGACAGTCCTCCCGACTGTGTCACACGCACACGGGACTCGATCGCAACTAGCAACACCTTCTCATTTTAATCGCTGATCTTCGAAACCATCAAACCCTTGAGGGACTTGTTTCGAGTCATTGTCGTTGTGCCTCGTTTTCCCTATGCCGCTTCCCACTGTCTGTGCAGGGAGACCTGTGAGAGCCGGAACTTGACGAGACAGCTCTGTTTTTCCAGATCTTGCAAAATGTTCACCTTGGCTTCCGTGGGACATATTTAAGTTTTCCTTCTCTAATTGGTCTCCGCTTTACCCCCGTTCGAACTTTCGCAGGTTTTACGGGTATATCGTAGGTGTTTAATAAACTGTCACTGTTTTAACAAGGAGCCCTGGTGGTTCAATGGTTAGGTGCTCAGCTGCTAACGGCAAGGTCAGCAGTTCCAACCCACCGGCTCCTCCATGGGAGAAAGAGGGGGTAGTCTGCTCCCATAGTCTGCTTACAACCTGGGAAACCATACCAGGCAATTCTATGCTGTCACCTAAAGTGACCATGAGATGGAAGTGGCTATGGAGCAATTTTTTAGAAACTATTTGACGCTTGTTGAATGGTTAAGAATTCACTATGGCTGATCGCTTACTGTGCTTCATGTACTATGCCAGCTCCAGTACACGAGCCCTCTTTCTAATTCTGTTGCTCTTTTTGGTTCAGAAAATTAGCAACTTATCACAGGTCACAAGGCCAAAAAGTTACTGAGTCTTAAGCAGTTCAGTTTGATTCCATCCACTCTACACATCTGCTGGACAAGCAGTTGGCTTTATTGTATGTAATTTTTCACCCCTATGAAATCAAATCCACCCCTCGTCTGTCGGTTTGCAGGGCTGTGGTGGGCAAGACCTCTTTAAAATGCGGAAGAGCTAAAATGTTCCTTTGAGAACTAAGGGGCGCCCGACCCATGCCTTGGCATTTATAACTGCCTCCTGCATGTGAAAGCTGGACATTGAATGAGGAAGACCGAAGAAGAATTGATGCACTTGAATTACGGCGTTGGCTAAGAATAGTAAATGTCCCTTGAACTGCCAGAAGAACAGACAAGCCTCTCTTGGAAGACATTCAGCCCCACAGAATGCTCCCTGGAGCTTGGAGAGAGACTTGATCTTGTGCACCTTCAATGTGTTATCAGAAGAATTCAGTCCACTGAGAAAAAGACAGCATGCTCGGTCAAGTGAAAGGGCGGCGAAAAGGAGGAAGACCGTCAACACGAGGGATTGACACTGTGCCTGCAACAACGAGCTCAGCCCCAACACTCGTGGCAAGGACACAGGGCTGGGAAGTGCTTTGTTCTGCTTTACATAGGTCACTATGAGTCAGAATCGACTGAATGGTTCCTAACAACGTAACAACACACCATGCTACCTCCCTTCAGAAATTACCTGTAAGGATGGCTCTTTGATTTATAGTTCTGTTAACTTCTTGGATATGTGTCCTAGACAATTATGCAACTGTTAGGTTTGTAGGTGACTGGCACTTGATGACATGGGGTTCACATGAACGTTTGTTAGGAGAAACTTAGCATGGAATAGCCTGGCCCCTTGAATTTCTTGGACCCTGCTGCTGTAGACAGAGACCGTAAGAACGACGCAGTGGCTCTATGGAGATAGCCAGACCCACTTGTTACATTCAAATGTGGGTCTTCAGCGATTTCCCCTAGACTTAGTGCCTTTTATAGAAAGGGCCTAATGGATTATTCCACCATTTAACTGCCTTTATTTTTCCTTTCTCAACTGAGGTCTTGGTGTGATTATCATCGGCTTAGCGGTGACAGTGACCGCTATCACTGGTTTGTCCACCTCTGCTATTGCCACAAATGGATATGTCAGAGGAGGTAATTAACCGTGTGACCCGCACAATTATTTGTAAGGTAAAAGCAACACAGGCTCACATAGCTCACCACTGCCCTTTCTGGAGTGTTTTCAAAGGTAATCCAAGGTGCCCCCCGCCGCCCCTCCCAACTCTTCTGTTTTTTTCTAGACAAGAGAGATGCAAGAGAAATGAGGAAGGATTTAACCTTTGTCAAACCCCAAACTTTCTCATTCAGGTTCCTCTGGAGCAAAAGAGAAGGTCAAATGTCATGTTTTCTCTTTTCACAGCCAGAGTGGTGTGTCTCCCAGGATACCTGCCTAAGTCAGCTTCTTTCCAGGGCGGCATCTGAGCAAGTGCTTACCTGGTGCAACCGGCCTTCATCATTTTGAGTTCTCTGGCTCCATCTTCTTGCCAGGCATCCGTGTTTCTCCTTAGCACAGAGGAACCCCGTCGGGCTCCAGGCTTGGCTGGAGAGACTATAATTAAAGTTACGGTTCTTTGCAGCCATGGGGAACACAAGGAAGACAAATAAAATATAACCTCTTCTATCTTTCATTGCTAACAGGTCTCGGAGTTCTCATTATCCTCCTTTCCACCATGGTAACTTCTATTACTGGGTTGTCAACTTCTGCAATAGCAACTAACGGGTTTGTCCGTGGAGGTAAACTCTCTAAGCTATCTAATGCCCTCACCATTTGCTACCGGTAGGCAAAACCTTTTTTATCTATATACTCCTTTTCAATGGGTGCAAGGAAGCTCCTTCAGCCTGGCAAAGGATATGGACGAGCTGGACCCAGAGGGCACTAAGGTACCGTGCGTGTAGTCTGGGTCCACTTCAGTCAGCTCTGGTCTTTCCTAATGAACGTCTTCTGCTGGATTTCAGGTCCCGGTTGCCAGAGACTGGAATTCCTTGGATTGATGTTTTATGTTTCAGGCTACCCTTCACCCCTCTGGCTGGTGTTTCTTTGGAAAGGACTCCAGGACAGCATTTCAGTGTTAAAGTTTAGTGCGTTTCAGGTACTCCCTAGGCGTTCACGGATGCAGTCTTTGAGAACATTGCAGGCGTCTCACGGGGGCTGATCCTTCCATGAGGAGAGTTGAATGATGCTTCTTCCCTCACGGGGGGGTTCTCTCAGCTCTGGAGCCAAACGCTTTTCTTGGGGGATTTTGCAGGTCTGGGAGTCATCATCATCGGCCTGAGTGTGGTGGTGACGACCCTAACAGGTATTTCTATGTCCGCCATTTGTACAAATGGAGTGGTAAGAGGAGGTAAGCCAATTAATTTACTTCTGACAGACAGTCTTGGGGACACGGTCATGTCCGGAGGTGGGTGGATACCGGAAGTGAAGTTGAAATACACAAGTCTCAAAAGGGAAAAGGGGCCAAGAAACCTAAAATTTAAATTGGAAGGCAAAATCCTTCTCAATCATAATGAAGCGATTCCCCAGAACAGGCTTCTTGGACCCATTTCCTTTGCTTAAACCTGTGTGTAGAGTGATCAGGAGTCCGTTAGGAAAGCAGAGGGTATTTCTGTAAGGTGTATGGTGGAGCCTTGGGGCAGGCCCTGCTGACTCCCTCCGAGTTCCCTACAGCAGTCTTCTCCAGTGCCCAGTCTACATGGCAGACAATTCCCACTCTAAGGGGGTTAATGTCAACACAGTTTTCCCAGTAGCCAATTGGAGTGGGAAGATTGGTCCAAAAGAAAATAAAAACAGAGTCACTTTTGAGTCACCCAGAAATAGGCGGGCCTTGGCAGAAAAGGAGGTGTGGGCAACTGATCACTGCTCTAACTTCCTTTGCACTTCGGGCCACCTCTGAGGACATGATCCAAGACTCCCTACTTGGGGATGTTTTTGCACACCATCCTACCTACACGACCTCTCCCTTATCTATAGTGACCCTCCACTTTTCAGGGTTTCTGAGGCTGGAAGTCTTTATGGAAGCACGCAACCTCATCTTCCTGCAGCTGGTGGATTTGAACTGCCAATCTTGCTAGCAGCCTATTGCCTCGCCCACGGTGCCACTGGGATTCCTTCCCTCAGTATAGATCATTCATTTACTCTCATAAGTGATCAATTAAGGAGCTCTGCTGGGGCCCTGCTGGTGTAGTGGTTACGAGTTAGGCTGCTAACCAAAAGGTCAGTAGTTTGAAACCATCAGCACTCCAAAAGAGAAAGATGGGGCTTTCTACTCCTGTAAACAGGTACAGTCTTGGCCACCCACAGAAGCAGTTCTATCCTGTCCCATAGGGTTGCTATGAGTTGGCATCAACTCGCTGGCAATGCGTTTGGTTTTGATTTTGCTTGGTGGTGCGGCAGAGGCACTCTGGTGGCATAGAGGCTGCTAACCACTAACTGGGCCGCTAACCACAAGTTCTCCAGTTCAAAGCCACCAGCTGTGAGGGAACACTGAGACTTTCTGCTCCTATGAAGATAGTTCTACTCTGGTTCCTGGTTCCTACAGGATTGCTATGAGTCAGAATTGACTCAATAGCAGTTAGTGTGTTTTGGGGTTTTTTACGTTTGGTGATGTTCAACTGCGAACCTAAAGGTTGGTGGTTTGAACCCACTTGCCTTGCTCCCATTAAGATCACCACCGAAAAACCCTACGGGACCATTGCACTTTGTCACACGGTACTGCTCTGAGTCAAAATCAACTTGATTGCTCCTGACAACAGCACTTGTGGTCATCAGGCCTCTTTACAGCTAGTTGGATTTTCTCTTGTTTCCCTCCTCCCTTTCTTCCCACAGCCACCCCACTACCCACATGGGTTTGGGGCAGCAGTCATGTCTTCCGGAGCTAGTGCCACAGAAAACCAAGACATTTATCAAACGAAGAAGGCCACAGTCACATACAGTTACATTCTTTTATTTAGAAAATATACAGCAGAAATGTATCTCTATTTCTTCCAGAAAGGAGGAAAGGAGGTCATAACAAAAGTGACAAACTACACCCACTTGAGTTTCTGCCTCGGGCCTCCGGTTCTTGAATATTTTTACATAGACTCCTTTTCTCCCTGTACTTGCATTACTGGCTTGAACTCTCAGACTCTTACTATAGAAGGCAAGCGATTGTTTTTTAGAGTTTTTTGTTTTCCCATTTGTAGCATTCGTATGCATTACAGTCTCAGCATTCAATTTTATTAAATCAGAATACTTTTACTATAGATTACATAGAGAACACGGAAAAAGCCTAGGCTGTTCCATTAAGCTAACACTGGAGCCCTGAAATTATTAGAAAGCTGTAATATTTTTATTAGAGTGGTTCATCTTTCCTACATCCTCAGAATTGCAATATTATTTGATCAATAAAATAAAATCCCTTAGCAGTCCTTTCCTGGTAAACATATTCATTTCTTCTTTCAGGTGGGGCCTACTATCTTATTTCCAGAAGCTTAGGGCCCGAATTCGGTGGATCGATAGGTTTGATCTTTGCTTTTGCCAACGCCGTGGCTGTTGCTATGTATGTGGTGGGCTTTGCCGAGACGGTAGTAGATCTTCTTAAGGTAATTAAAAGCTTTTCTTTTCTTCAGTCAAGTGGTATAATTCAGTTCAGCTTGCTTTTTCAGGGCACTAAGGGAGATCACTTTGATAAGATAAGGGGATATGGATTAATTCTGCAGAATGTAGACTAATATAATAGAAGGAATTGGGGGCTTAACATCAGAAGATTTGGAGTTCAGCCTGGTCTGCACAATTACCAACTGAGACAGTTTAGACCGGTCATCAGAACACTGGCTTTTTTTCTTTTGAGTCTATCGTGTTAGGATAATAATACCAAATGAGTTATTGTACAAATGTATGAACAGATGAATGTAAAATATTTCAAAAATGCAAAGTATTCGATAACTACTGGAGGACATCTATTATTAGATGTAATACTACTGTTGTGATTATAGATTTCTAAAGAGAAAGAAAGTTCGGTTTAGGATAACACTGCATGAGACCCAGATATTTCCTAGTTTAGATGTCCATTCTAGGATGGTGTACATGCAAGTAGGTTAATTGGCTTGTATATAAACTGAATTCCAGTTTTGCTGTCATGGTAATGAGAGCAGTCATTCATTTTGATGAATAAAAGTACCTCTACTTGAAAATTTGATGGATATAAAGTGTACTATACAATTCATAAGATACACTATCTTCAAGAGATGCATTATCTGGTTTTTGTAGTTCGTTTTTTAGTTGAATAGGACTTATTTTTCCAATATCCATATAAGAAACCACTTGTTTTGAATGCCTCTGATGTTCCCTTGACACACAGATATAGGACGTCATTCTGCAATGGAAAGTCCTATTTGTATGCGTATTTTTACTTAATGTAACAATAGCTTCAAGAGCTGTTGAACTATTAAAATTTCCAACTGGATTATGTGCTGAGTTGCTAACCACAAGGCCAGCGATTCAAAACCACCAGTAGCTTTGTGGAAGAAAGAGGAGGCTTACTGCTCGCATAAAGATTTAAAGGCTTAAAGACACCCAGCAGCCATTCTACCCTGTCCTGGAGGGTCACTTTGAATTGGGATCAAATTGATGGCAGTGAATGAATTCTAGTTCAAGGATACCTAGCGGCATGGTGGCTTAAGTGTGAAGCTGCTAACTGCTGAAAGGTAGGTGGTTCAAACCCACCCACCACTCTGCAAGACAAAGAAGAGGCTGTGTGCTCGTGTGAAGAAACCCTAAGAAACAGTTCCTCTCTGCCCCGTGGAATCATTGGGAATCAGAATCAGCTCAATTACAGTGGGATTTTAGTTGGTGCTATTGTTGTCGCTGAACCTGGTTCAGAAGCCTTGGGGCACTGTGGAAAACGCTGGCTGCTCAAAATCCACCAGCTACTCTACAGGGAGAAATGAAGCTTTCTGCCGCTGAGAAGACTGACAGTCTCAGAAACCCAGAGAGCGGTTCTACGCTGCTTAATAGGGCTTTGGGAATCAGAATTGACTCCGCTGCAGTGGGTGTGACTTTGTCATCAGAGTTCTCAAAAGCCTATTCAGAATTCAAACTCCCTGCCATCGCGTAGATGCTGAATCATAGTGACCCTATAAAACAGGCTAGAACTGCCCGTGAGTTTCTGAGACTGTAACTCTTTATGGGAGTAGAAAGCCCCATCTTTCTCCCTCAGAGTAGCTGGTGGCTTTGAACTGCTGACCTTTGGGATTGTAGCACAACTTGTTACCACTGCTTCACAAGGGCCCCTCCAAAGACCTATTATCATAAGAAAAAAAAAAAGAAAAGTAGGGTGCTGTCACCTAAATTTGTGATCACTTCCTTTTCTCCTATTATCCAACATGACTGAATTTATTATCATTAGATGGTATAAGACAGGCATGCCAAAAAGCATGTCCCTAACCATTGTGGTGTTTTGTTTTGTTTTGTTGTTTATCCCCAGGAGAGTGATTCAATGATGGTGGATCCAACCAATGACATCCGAATAATAGGCTCCATCACAGTGGTCGTTCTCTTGGGAATCTCAGTAGCTGGAATGGAATGGGAAGCAAAGGTGAATTTCTCAGAATGATGTTATCAGTAACTGCTAGTGAGGTCCTGAACACATGACAGGGGAGAGAGGGAAACTGAAGGCCCCCCACAGTCAATAAGAATGACTGCTATGACTTGCTCTGGGCAGAGGAGCACGGTAGTGCTAGGTGGATCACCTGAAAGCAGGAGCCCCAGGCAGTCCTGACCCACAGCATGGGGCACCTGGCTCCACCTACACCTGGTCCTTCTTTGTAAAATCATCACAGTGTCACAGCCACCAAGGTTGCCACCGCCTTCACACAGAGATCACTTACAGTGCTGGCAATGGTACAGGCTGGGGTGGAGGGTGTTCATCTCTCAATCAGGCCCTTGAGAGCCCCTTTCAAACCAGCTGGAGGTGCTAAACCCTGGAAGAAATGGCCAGTGTGCTCAGCAGCGAGTAATAGAAACTGTTCAGCCTTCTCCCCCAGAGTTCCACTATTTCAGGAATCAATTGGAGGACACGTAAACCCTGGGGCCAGAGGATATCTGGGCTTAACTAGTTGCAGTCAAACAAATAGCAAAGTTCTGCATGATGGGAGCATGCCTTTGGCCTCGCTTAAAACGTTGCCATTTCTGGTGCAACGGAAAATGTCCCTATGTCCCTGGAGACACCGTGACTGGATCTCAAGTAATCTCCAGTAACCAGAAGATGGATGGCCAATGCCTCCTTCTATAGAAGGCTCCAGGAAACATTCCTACATGACATGTATTTGTGGAGTTTGTGCTCAAGCATGGGGGGGGGGGTGCGGGTGCTGAATAAAGTGTCTACTGTGGGCGGGTTGTTCTGCTAGGCACTAGTTATTCAGTTTTGACCAAAGCCTAGTAGAAGGTATGTAATAAATAACTAAACAAATATAGAATGTAAATTGTGTGAAGTGTTAGAAAAGAAGTAAACAGGACACTGCCATAGACAATAACAAGGAGAGGAGGATTGCTTAGATTACTCTATTTGGGAAGCAGTAAAGCTTAGTGGCAGTAGAGTCTGATATTTAAAACTCAACTGTGTTGTTAGATTTCTTGTATTTCACTTGGGTTTACATTTGTTTGACCTTGCGTAAATCATCTTAACCTCTCTTTGTTTTAGTTTTTATCTTTAACATGGGGATAACAATATTACTTCATGGCATTGGTGGCGGCCTTTACTTGAAACACTGTCGACATTTTACCTGTGCATGTGGCATATTATAGGACTTCAACAAACAGTAGTTATTAATATTTAGAATGGGTGGTCAAGAAAGACTTCTCTGAAGAGGTAATAGGTATATAAAGATCTTTATATATCTTTATATATAAAGATATAAATGCCTTTCAGACAAAGAGAACAGTAAATTGAGGTGCCAAGTCATTACCTACCAGACATGTTGACTGTAGTGTCGGAAGACCACTAGAGAGATAATACTGCAGGTGACTTGTGCTGGGTACCCACTGGCAACCGAACACCATGTGCAGTAGGCATCTGGGAAAAATATTCCATGAATCATGTACCCCATTCTGCAGTCAGCACTGGGGAGTAGAACCTCTGGGTGGTCTGCCGCAAAAAGAACTCTGACAGGGGTCAAACTTCGGGTTTCATCGACCTTCCTGGGGGCCCTGTGGTGGCTACCCACCTACCATTTAACATGTTCTTAAAATGTTACTGCGAGTCCTAGATAGAGTGGGAGAACAATGTAGACCAGAACTCAAAATCATAAAAGAGAATGGGCTTACTCATAGGACAGGGACAGGCAAGACCGCACCCCACCCCACTCGCAGCCCCACCCCCAGATCTCTCTTCAGATCTCCCTGAGCTCACCACTCTGATAGAAACAGCACCTGTTTACAAGGTCAGCATCTACCCAGGGACATGCTTCTGAGGGTCAGGAAGGGAGGCAGAATGGCAACGGAAATGCGGGGAGCGGGATAAGAGACGGCACGTTGCAGGGGTTGTCATGCGTACATTGAAACAAAATGCATAGGGGTTATTGAATGTGAAACTGATGATCTGTCCTGTAAAGCTTCACCTAATTCACAAGAAAACGTTTTTAAAACGTTAATGTCACCTTCCAGCGCCTAAGCACATGCCCTATTGAAATGCACTATCTGCATGGGGCTGAATAGGGCTTTTTAAGATGTCTTTTTTTTTTTTTCCTGATCGGTTTGTAGCTTTTTTTAAAATTGGGGGCACTTACAGCTCTTATCACAATCCATACATCCATCCATTGTGTCAAGCACATTTGTACAGATGTTGCCATCATCCTTTTCAAAACATTTTCTTTCTACTTGAGCCTTTGATATCAGCTCCTCATATTTTCCCCTCCCTCCCTCACCTTCCCTCCCTAATGAACCCTTGATAATTTATAATATTTTTCATGTCTTACACTGTCTTACCACTGTCTCTCTTCACCCACTTTTCTATTGTTCATCCCCCACCTCCATGTGTGTGTGTGTGTGTGTGTGTGTGTGTGTGTGTGTTATGTGGATCATGCTTCTATTACCTACTTTGGATACCAGAATCTCAACTGGGATAATGAGAGGTCTTCTCAAGTGCACATGCAGAATTTTTATAATCAGATCATAAATTGTTGCATAAATCTAACCTGCTAATCCTTCACTTTGCCTTTTCCAGGCTCAAGTGATTCTTCTGATCATTCTCCTCATTGCTATTGCGAATTTCTTCATTGGCACCGTCATTCCATCCAACAACGAGAAGAAGTCCAGGGGCTTCTTTAATTACCAAGGTAATTGTGGCAAATTGTTTATGTTACAGTGAATGGTTCCAATGTGCCCCCTCATCCTCCCCTTCACTGCTCCCCTCAAGTGGCTCTTGGAAGGGCTGGGTCAACTCTGCCACTTAGCAACTGGAACTAAAGTGTTTGGATCTCAGCAATGCCTGCTAAAGTGTGGTGTCAAGGATCCCGTCCTGGGGGGATTTGGAGCATCAGATGGCAGATGGGCATGACAGCACCTTGTAAGCCTTAAAGTGCTGGGCAAAGTGTTGTCGCTGTCAAAGAGTAGACCTCAAGAACACATGCAGCGGAAAGGACCCCAGCTTGGATAATTGGTTCAGCCACTACCAAGCCCGCGCTGAAATCAAGCACAGTCATTGTGTTTCTTCTTGCTAGACTCTGGGTACCTTGCCGTCTGATACCATTCCCAAGCTAGCATCACTGTCAGGTTTTTGAGCGCAAATGATTGTGGAAATTCCTTAATGCCACGTGTATGGTCACTCAAATGAGCATGAAATTTGGCTTCTCTCGTTTTCATTTTACCCTGCTTGTCCCTCCTCTCGCATCCTTGCTCTCTCACCTCTTCAAGAATCTATTTCTGAGTTTGTTGTTTCATCTTTCCCTTCACGACTCACTCTGTTGTCAGAATTTGCTTCCTTTTGTAGGTCAGATCACCTCTCTCTCCTTGCTTCTTTTTGGTTTTGAAGATTGTCTTCCATTGACTCTGCCTGTGAATATCCTTTTGCTTTCTATTCTTCGACCTTCCAACACTTGCTATAATGTTTACCCTGATATTTCAAATGTTCCTTCCGTGTGTCACATCTCAAATCCCTTGATATCCCCCGCCCCTTCTAGTTTGTTTTCTTTCATCTAAGTAATGCAGTGTCAACTATCAATTCTTAAACTAATTTGTGGGATAATTTTGTTATGACCAATGCTCCTTATTATAATATTTTCCCACAGATAAGAATTTGTTAGAAGGATCTAAGATCCTAGATCAGGGCTGAGATTTGGGGGAGGCTAGTTTTGTAAGCAGACCATTTTTAAAGAATTTGAGAAAGGTCTTCCTCTCCCGTAAGGGTTCTGTACCATTCAAAACAAAATAAACAGATTTTTAAAAAGAAAAGCCATGTGCTGATGCTTTAATGTATTTATGTGTAAGAGAATGCAGTGGGGTGGGAGGGGGCATGTGTGTGGTGTCCTGAGAAGCGTGGAAACATAGCCAGGAGAGAGATTACCATCCCATGTATTTCCATCTTCCAGGGTCAGAGGCGCCAGGCATCCTGCGTCTCCACTGACATAAAGATTATTGGTTTCTTTCTCGGAGCTGTGTCCCAGAGACCTAACATCCAATGACATCTATTTGGATTGTTGGCAAATATTTACACAGTGCTTCTCAGAAGTACACCCACACTTTAAGTTCACTCCGCTTAGAATATAGAAACACATTTGCTTCAGAGGTCTAGACGCTGAAGTTCAGGTGATCTTCTGTGAAGCAAACCTGCGTGACGATGTTCTCATTATTTGTGTTGCAGCATCAATATTTGCAGAAAACTTTGGGCCAAGTTTCACCAAGGGAGAAGGCTTCTTCTCGGTCTTTGCCATTTTTTTCCCAGCAGCGACTGGAATTCTTGCGGGTGCCAACATCTCGGGAGATTTGGAAGTATGTGGTTTCCTCTGCTTTTTCCTTCGGGGTTCATAAGCGCCATAAGTTGTTACAGAGACTGGCAGTGGTCACGTGATCTCAAAACTACACCCACATGTCACTCATTGACTTGTTTTGAAACCAAAGATTCAGTCTTGTGAGAATCCAGATGACTTGAAAGGCAAAATGAAAGGGTAACCACACAGGTGACCAAAGGGAAGATGAATACATTGTTACCTGATTGCCAAGTTACACCCTTAGATAACTGCGACACCGCTTGCTCAGCCAAGTCGCCCTTCACCGTCCCAGTGAGCATTTCTTGGAACTAGCACCTTGATAGTAATGACTCCTAGACACACATCATTAATGAACAAAACAGATAGATTGTTTTTTACCCTGTGGTAGATGTGAAGTGTTGTGAGTTGATAATTGAGGAGGAAGTATGTGAGATTTTTGCAAGATTTCCTGGTTATTTTAAAGTGATCACTTTTAATGGCTACTTTACATTCCTAGTCCAAAGAGTTCTTCCACAAGTTTTATTTAGTGATTTCAGGAGCACAAATGCATTGGCAGTGTGGCATATTTCCAACATAATGGATATAGTTTGGCGAACAAAATATCAATATCATCCTATCTCTTTTGGATACAAAAAGAGTGCCTGGAACATTCAGGATGAATATACTCTCCAAAATGACACTTTATTATTGAAAATACAATTGCTAGATACACTCATTTAACTATATTTATCAAGTGTTCCTCTTACATTACTAATGTTAAGAATTGTAAGGGGTGTTCTATTAGTTAAGATATTGTTTCTGAAGAATAAGAAGTTATCAATAAGGTAAAGAGAAGATTGGACATTTGTCACAGAAAAAGACCCTGCTAAAGGGGATTACTTCTTGTAGAAATATGATATCTAAATAAAATATTGTTATCAATAAATTAATGAACATATTTGTAAAGAATATCCTATATGTCCCAAACATTCCAGGAGTAATCAAAGAATTTTAAGCTATCATCCCTATCTAAAAAGGCAAGAATTTAAAATTTTCTTCCTGATACAAAGTGCTAAAATTATTTATGGTTACTAAGTTAGTAAATTATTTTATTTATTTATTAGTATACATTAATGAACAGTTTCTGATTTGGAGTTGACATAAATGTGTAAAGGATGGCCTATCATGATTTTCAGAGTATATGTGGTCATAGTATGGTTATAAAAAATTATAATCTTTACATTTAAAAATACTTTGGTGTTTTAACAATTGAACTTAACATTAAATAGAACTTGGAGGTCCTTTAAAGTACAGATAATGGAGTTTAGACATAATCCCCAAAGCTGGCAGAGACACTAAGGAGGTTAGATCAGAAAGGAACATGATTAGATATGTGTTTTAGAGAACGCTTTCTATAAGCCTGTGAAGGATGGATTACAGGGTGGAGGATGATAGGTAGAGAGACTGGAGGCGAAAGATCAGTTAAAGAATATCATAACAGTTCAGACAAGAAACGACATGGGCCTGAATTAAGGCCATGGCAGGAGATATGGATCAAAGGGGTCAGTGAAAGATAGAGAGTTGGGAGGAAAAAGAGAAAAGATGCTTTTTATTATGGTTTGAAGTAGGAAAAATTTTATCAGAACCCAGTGCATACACATAAACATTTCCCAAAACAATTCTTTGCTTTATTACAATTGATGCCTTCTGATATCCTCACATCAGTTCCATTCTATGGTATTTTTGAATGCTTGTTATGATATAATACATTGATTGCATGTGGCAGAAGATAAAGATGCTAAATGTGGATTTGGCCAGTGAGATTAAAATGGCCAGGGGACATTAGCATGGAGCTATGCAGTGGGCAGCTAGATTTATGAGTGTGGAGCTCTGGAAGGAGGCTGGAACAGGAGGGCAAATCGTGGGCATGGATGAACTCATCCAGGTGTGTGCGAGAGGGAGGGAGAAGATCAAAATGTCACCAAGAAATGCAGACATTCAAAGTATTAAAGGTCAAAAAGGAGTCTTTGAAGAAGTAAATTTAAAAGCTCTAGGAATCAACAGCATAGGTAGGGAGATTAACAGAGATGCACTTATGCAAATAGATTAATCCATAACACTATGGTATTGGCCTATGTATATATATTTATAAGACAATATACTGAGGCTGCAGATGGGCCTTGGGCCTCAGCTCATACCTTCCCTCAATACAAGAACACTTTGCTCTAACAAATCTGCAATCTCTGATGCTCACCCCCCAGCCCCCCCACACACACAACCACTGAAGACAAAATGGGTGCGTAAGCAGATGTGGTGAAGACAGAGGATGGTGCCCGGCTATTAAAAGATATAGTGTCTGGGGTCTTAAAGGCTTGAACAAGAGGCTATCCAACAGTGAAGCAACTAGCCCACATGGAAGAAGCAGACCAGCCAGTGTGATCATAAGGTATCACGAGAATGGGCAACAGGCATCAGAAGATTCATAACAAACAGTAAACAAACAAAAATGCATTGGTGAGAACAGAGGGGATTTGGAGCGGAGACCCAAAGCCCATCTATGGACAATGGAACATCCCCCCACAGAGGGGTCGCAGGGAGGGGATGAGTCAATCAGGGTGCAGTAGAGCACTACTGGGTCACACAATATACCTCTGATCCCTTCAGGCCCCCTTCCCTCTCCGCCCCCCCACCGCTATCATGACCCCAGTGCCACTTCCCAATCTAGACTGAACAGGAGCATATACATGGGCATAGGCAAGAGACAAAACTGACAACACATGGAACCCAGGAACAGGAATAGGGATAGAGGAGGGGGGAGGGAGGGGGGCACCTATTACAATGAATGGCACATAACCACACACCCCCATCCAGGGGGAAGAACAACAGAAACCAGAGGGGAAGGGAGACAGCGGTCAGTGTGAGATTTAAAAATAATTGGCAATCTATAATCTATCAAGGGGCTATGAGGGTTGGAGGGGAGGGCAGAGAAGGGAGGGGCAAAAAGAGGAGCTGATCCCCAGGGCTCAATGGAAAGCAAATGTCTAGAAAAAAATGATGGAATATATGTACTAATATGTCAGATACAAATGATGTATGGATTGTAACAAGAATTGTAAGAGCCCCCAATAAAATGATTTAAAAAAACAGACTCCTATGAGATAAGGGAAAGTTAAGGATAAGTGATATCATGAAAGTTACGGAAGGAGGATGCTTTGAGAAGTTACACTTCACATGACCAAAAGCCATGCTGGTCAAGCATGTTAGTGATTGTCTGATAGAAGATGGCAAAGCACCTACAGTTCATGGAGGTATGACTCCTCTCTGCGGTTGAAACTAGGGACAATCAAAGCATAATGGGCTCCGTTCAATTTCGGCAATACTCTTTCCCCATTTTAGGGTAAAGCAACATGCTGCCTCAAACCTCAGAGCTTCAAATTCTTCCCCCAGACAGCACTTCAGGTGATCACTGACCATCAACAAAAGCTGAAACAAGAGGGGGCTAAAAATTGCCCATCTTGAACTTTCCATTTGTTAATTAGCACACATATTTACTACTTGGTAAATATAAGAGTCCTGGTGACATGGTGGTTACATGTTGGGCTGCTAACCTGCTAACCAAAAGGTCGGCAGTTCGAAACCACAAGCCTCTCCACTGGAGAAAGACAAGGCCTTCTACCCTGGTCAAGAGTTACAGTCTTGGAAACCCACAGGGCCCGTTCTCCCTTGTCTTGTAACGTTTCTGTGAATCAGCATGGACCTGACAACAGGGAGAAAAGGAAACGTCTGGAGAAGATTTGGGAAACACCCACATTCCATCCGGAGCGTTCAAGCCGGGGCTCAGTGATGCAAAGCTAGCATGTGGGTTTAGTTGACATACTCAAAACGCAACACTCTGATAGATTGCTTGTAATCTGTCTTAAGAAAATACCATACTATTTAATGAAGAAATATGAAGGAAGATTACTGCTTGGAGATGGGAACTAAGATTTAGAGTAGAAACTAAGAATAAGAATTTGGTAACGTTCTGAGCTTTGTCTAGGAGAAATGTAGTCAGACAAGATAATGTGAATCAATGGCCAGACATTAATCTATTGCCATTCCACTTTATTAGGGTGAAGTTAGGGTCTAACCTAAATTTTCCTTCAGCAATTTTAGAGCGAGTGGCTCGGGATTCTGCAAATAATTGAGTTTGTGTGTTTCAGGTACAGGGTTGTGTACCATTTTCACCTCGCTTCCCCTTAAATATATTTCCTTTTTTCCCATTTGATTCCATTTTTCACATTCCATTCTGGTTCAAAGAAGTCCCAAATCAATACAAGCAATTTTGAAATACAGCCTATTAGTTGGGGGATGAAGTGGGGCCCATGTCATCCATGATTGCCTTTACCTTTCCACAGATTGCTCAGATGCACACACCTGCCTCACTCTTTTTTTTTTTTTGGTAGCTGGTAGTTTGGAAGGAAGAGGCTGAGTAGATATGCATTAGAGGAAATCCTGCCTGCTTGTATTTCTAGAAGAAAGAAAAACCAAACCCACTGCCATCAAGTTGAAGGCATTCATGAGTGTCATTCAAGGGGCTGGCTTACTCTGACATTGATCTAGTTTCATTTGGTTTGATCATCAGTCGCAGCCATCAGAGTGAGTCTACATTCACTGGGAATTGACCTTTTGATGGACTTGATCAGCAGATTTAAGTTCTAAAAAGACTTAACTTTTGTTAGACTGAATTGAATGCTTATTTGTATTGATGAGGCTCATGCCCTCTGGTGGGGGGACTAAGGCTTACTGAGATTATGCATCTCTCACTTCAATATTTATTGATTCCTATGATATGCCAGCCACTGTCCTGTATAAGCTATGAATGCATTAAAACGTCTATTTAATAATCCCTATTAAGTTGAACTCAATTCTTTAGAAGAGTTATGCTCCTTGAGGAATTGTTTATGGTATGATTTATCCCACCAATGGTATATAAAATGGTATATTATATATGATATCAGCTCAACTCAGTGAATGTACAGTGAACCCTCGTTTATTGCGGTTAATCGGTTCTAGACCCTACCGTGATAAATGAAATTCCGCAAAGTAGGATTCCTTATTTGTAAATCAGATATTTTCGTAGTTAGAGCATAGAGGACATGAAAAAATACCCTTTAGTCACCATTACACTCGTATTACCCAATTTATTAAACGAAAAAGGGAAAATACAGTAAAACATTTTGGACGTTACAATGATCATTGATTATTTATTATATTATTTATGGCATCTAGTTTACAGTATTACATATTTCACATACAGTATTATTATACATAGTTCTTACAAATACTGTAATCAATAGCCTATGAAATGACTTAAGGGATGTACTCTACAGGTGGGTCGCCGTCTTTTTCCTCTGAAGGAGCGGGTGTAGGCAGTGGGTGCTGTTAGGCAAAAACCGCGATAGAGTGAAGCCGCGGAAGGCGAAGCGCAAAGTGGCGAGGGTTCACTGTATATATATTTATAAGCAAGAGAAGGGAAAAAAAGGCCCTTTTCCATTATAAGCTGGAATCTGCCTCTTTCTTGATGCTTGATTATGGGAATACCTTCCATTGCAGTCATTCCTATGGGAATTTTCCACAGGAAATGTGAAGGTTTGGAGTATTTAGTAAATCATCCTTTTTGCTCAGTCAAAAGTAATTTTTTAATGCAACTTAACTGAATTGAAAAGAAATTCACACAAACACACACAAATACAGTAAATGTGCGATATATGTTCATGTATTTTCCCCTACTTCTTCAAGACCTGATACATCCGGATGAAATTCATGAGAGATCAAGGGCAAGGCAAGTTTTAATAAATGAACTAAGTACAGTACTTGTCTATAAAAACTTCCTTCTGGACAGTTAGGGATCACTTCCAATTAGTAAAAAGAATTCCTTTTTCACCCTCCATGTCTTGCCTTTGTCTGGAAAAGAACACCAGTTCCCCACGATGCCATTTGCCTAAGATTTCTGGAGACTAGCTTCAGGAAGGGCGGCCTGAAAGTTCTTGAAAATTTAGAATTTCAAATTTAGAAAATTCTAAATTTTCTTGGAAAATGTAGAAATCACTCCGGTGATCTGTTTGCTACCCTAACCTTTCTTCTCCTACCTTGACATGATTTTTCCTAAGGATCCCCAAGATGCCATCCCCAGAGGAACCATGCTGGCTATTTTCATCACGACTGTCGCCTACATAGGAGTTGCCATCTGTGTCGGTGAGTTTGACTCTTGTGGTGTCGGGCGATCAGGATTGCGAGTGGTCCAGTGTATTTCATGTCCTGTGGGCTTTCCATGGAGCATGAGTTGAACATTTTTAAGTCCACTTTTTAAGTTCTCTTTTTGGGGTATTTCAAGGTATGGTTTTGATATTTGATAGGTTTAAATCCAAGTAAGTGGCAATGCAGGTTAGTAGGTCAAGGTTATGAACCAGTTACGATGGAGTCGATTCTAACTCATGGCCACATTGTGTGTATCAGAATAGAATTGTGCTTCCTGGGGTTTTCAATGGCTGGGTTTTGGGTTCTTTTGTTTGTTTGTTTTTTCAGAACTAGATCACCAGGCCTCTTTTCTGAGATGTCTGAGTGGACTTGACCTCCAGCCTTTTGGTTATCAGCCCTGTGCTTCACCCATTTATACCAGGCAAACTCAACTCTCAAACTCCCTGCCATTGGATCGACTTCAGCCCATAGTCAGCCTGTCAGAAAGAACAGAAGTGCCCCTGTGGGTGTCCTAGACCTTAACTCTTTACAGGAGCAGGAAGCCTCATCTTTTTCCCAACGAGTGGTTGGTAGTTTTGAGCCGTGGGTCTTGTGGCTAGCAGCCCCATGAGTAGCCCACGACTCCACCATGCAGAGACTCCCAATCAGCCCCCTCTGCCTGAACACCAAAGGACCCTATTTTGCTAGTGCAGGTGATAATCCGCTGCTTACAAAGTCACAACGAACCCTGGGCATGACCGTTGAAGCTCTTGACTGCTGCTTGAGAGGTTGGTGGCTCGATGTGACAGTCTGCTTCATTGAAGGTCCACAGCCTTAGAAACCCTATAGGGGCAGTTCTCATCTGTTCTATAGAGTCATTGTGAGTCAAAATGATTGTGATCTAACAGATTTGGGCTTTGAGAGGGAAATTAGCACTTCCAGAGCCCTGGAAGGCACAAGAGGAACGGAGCAGGAGAGAAGCCAAAGAGGGAAGAAGAAGGAAAAAACAAAAAGCAGCCCTAGAACAGTAAAAATATACAGAATTGATGACTGTGCTCATCCTTGCATTGCTGTCCCTAATATGGAAATGTCACTGTCACCGATTGGCCAGAAATCAGAACAGCGCCCAGCTGCTAGCCCTGCAAATGAATGGCTAGGCCCTACCTTGCTCAGTGAGCAGAAAATTTGTATATTCACCTGCTGTTCCTAAGGCTGACTTTCATTCCACCTGCTGCCTGCAGCCTCCTTCCTCCTGGCTGGGGGCCACCTCGTACTTCCAGAGTCAGGAAGGAAGACGTGAGGCTTCCCCACATTCAGAACAGAACACTCGCTTCCGAGCGCAGTAGGCAATGACGCTCCAGGCTGGGCCACTGGAAGCTGGATGGCCATTTTACTGAAGGGGGTGCATCTCAGTCCTCTGCTTGCTCCAGGGAAAAACAGAAAAGACTATATGTACCTAGACTTGATTTCTGGAGGACAAAAATCAGAAATATTAACGTAGATTTCACACTTCTCTCACTGCCTCCTCCTGGAAGAAATCTGATAAGGTTGCTAACTGCACTGTGGCATTCCCAAGCTTAGTTACATGTAAAGGAATTTTGTTCCAACGTTTCAGGAAACAGACACTTTTAAATGAGATTGAAACTACGCAAAGCTAAATTTCCCCAAATGATTTCCTTTCTTCAAGACACTAAAAATAAGAAACTGGGGCAGCGTTATCAACCTGTTTTTGAAGATTATACCAGTTTTGGCCCAGAAGTTAAAATATCTACATTTCTACCCCCTTCCCAGAGGAAGACAAGCTGTCAGGGGCCTCCGGGGTCATCAGTGTGAAGGCTGGCTCAAGGTTGGCTTTTGGTGACTCTGGGGAGATCTGTTATGCAGAGGTCAACACGCACGATTCCAAAAAGTCAGCTGGACGTAAAAGAATGAGGCCAGGAAGGTGAAATCGGGAAGGGGTGGTTTTTTGTGAGAGCAAAGAAGTCCCAGTGTCCAGTGTTTAAGCAGAGGTTGGCAGGCCATCTCTCAGCTAAGATGGAAAGGGCTCTGCCCTGATTGTTCTGCATGGCTCCCTCAGCTCGAAGAACCTATGATTTTTATTCTTTTCCCCAAATGCAAAGAGTGCGAATTCCACGGCTCAGAGGGAGCTTCCAGGGTTTGTCTTAGAGAGATGGGCCAGGAATGGCAAGCTGCCCCCACTGGGTGAACAGTGACAAGAGCTGTCTGTGGTTCGGTCTTTAGTTTGTAAAGTGTTTCATCTTCGAGCAATTTTAAAAAGTGAGAGAATACTACACACACACACACACACACACACACACTCACACACATGTTCATCCAATATTCTTATTGGATACAGAATGGCAGAGGTTACGCTTAAGAAAACTCAGAAGAAAAAGCAACGCATCAAGTATCTTTAAAATGTTT